GGATCATATGCGGTGCTAGGGAATAAACCAGGGTTAGCTACATGCAAGACAAGTCTTCCTCCTCCACCCCCCCGGAGCCAAAACCTTTAAATGTATGCAATATCTGTCTCTTTCTATTACGATTCAGACATTTCTAAATATAACTCCTTACCAACAGTTAATTGGTTGTTTTCCACTAAATTACTCTCCAAAGGGGACTAAGAGACATCCTTATGCTAGTAATATTTTATATCCTTAAATTAGTAATACCTTAGGACCCTCACCTGCCTACAGCCAGGAGGTGACCATCATTCCATCTTTGGGGACACCACTGGTTCCCACCTCAGGTATCCACGACCCCGATCTCGAGTCACATCATCCTTGGTCTTGATTGCTGGGCCACCAGGCCTCTAAGCTCCTCCTCGTTCCTCACAGTGGCATGAGAGTGTTTTGGAATTCCCTACCAAAGACTCATCAAGCCAGTCATTTAACAAATGCTGTACTGTCACCCCCAATACTGGCACAGCACCAACCAACACAACTGGCTCAAGAGTCCAAAGAAGAAACAATGCCAGATGCCTTCGGTTTTTGGGGGTTTTTTTATTGCCCTTTCAACCCATTTAACACCTTCACATCAATCCCAGCATTTTGGCAAGACAGGGGAAGTCAGAACATAAGTGTCTCATATCTTTTTTTCTACCTCTTTCCCCCTTCTTCCCACAATCTACCAGAAATGAGAAAGATGGACTTTCCACTTTCAATTCATCCCCCTTCTTCTTGAGTTGAACTAAGTCTCAGGTTAGACCTTAGCGATGGAAGAGATTCCTCTATAACCTATAGGAGACACTATCGTTAGCATTTACCAAAGGTAGCTCTTGATATGGAAACTACAGGCAAATTAGAACCTTAGAAAACCAAAACCAGCTCATACTCAATAAATAAAATAAAATCTAAATAAAAAGAAAACCAAAATCAAACATATAGTGAATTAAAACTTCCCCAAATACTGTCCCCTTACAAATTCAACACTTAGCATTTCCTATGTTAGACTGCAGAAACAATAGGAGACTTAAATTGCCAAGTCTCCTAAACTAGACTTAAGGCCTAGACGTGGAAGATCTATATAACAGAATGTTATATGCTACACTTCCAAAACGAACAGAAACACAAATCATCTCTATCAATCTTTCATAACTCATCAAACTAAAAACTGAATGCAACAACAGGGAAAGAATAATATAAATTATTTTGGGTCACAATATCATTATCAGCTCATTTTTTCCCAATTTACATACTTCATTTTTCTCTCCACTAACTACATAAAAAAAAAATCCACAAACGTAAGATAATCCTTAATGGGGATAGTGTGGGTAGGAAACCTCAAGATTCTCTATGAATAAAAACAAGTACAGGGGCTAGAGCAATTGTACAGCAGGTAGGGTGTTTGCCTTCATGCAGCCAACCCAGGTTCAATCCCCGGCATCCCATATAGTCCCCCATGCACCGCCAGGAGTAGTTCCTGAGTGCAGAGCCAGGAGTAACCCCTGAGCATAGCTGGGTGTGACCCAAAAAGAAAAAAAAACTCCAAGTACACAGGGTGAGGGAGATTAACTCACAAGGCTGGCACACATGCCTTGCAAGTTCAAGGCCTGAGTTCAGTCCCTGGCCCAGCATGCTCATACCCCCTGCACCAGTGAGTTTGTGTGTGTCCCTGGGGACAAACAGCACTAACCCACTGATCCAGTGTCACTGTGAGTTGCCCCAGGCCCTCTAGTCACCTGCGGACCAACTCACATGATCTCCTCTCACAGCACTCTCCTGGGCTCCCAATGTCCTCCATCAGGGGACAACTTTCTCTGACTTATGACCTTTCTTCACTCTCTCCTTCTCTCTCTGGAAAATCAAACATTTTCCATAGAATTAGTATACTCCCTCAATAAAACTACCTCACTTTACTAAAATAAAAAACAAATAAAGGTATCAGGCAGAATCTTCCTAAAATAATTAAGCTAGAGACTAATAAAGCTTAACATCTTTTACTGTGTATTATGGGCTGGACAATGCTACTGTGTATTATTATAGTATTTCACCCATCATACAATTGTTGTCAATTGTTACAGACTATTAGCTCACTGCTTCTTCTGCCTCACTGTTTCTTTTCCTGCTTGCTTTGTTCTGTTTTGCTTTTGGGGGAAGGGGGGGTTCGGGTAACACCCAGCAGTGTTCAGGGATCACTCCTGGCAAGCTCTCTCAAGAGCCCATATGGCGTGCTGGGAATTGAATCTGGGCCAGTCGTGTGCAAGGCAAGTGCCCTACATGCTGTATTATCATTCCGGCACCATCGTCTTATTTTTTTTTAATTTAAAAAAGTTTTAATTCCTTAACAACAAATTAGCAATCGCTTATCGAAGGGCTTAATGGCCCCTGGGTGAAATACAACAATCTTCACACACTCTCCTCTAAGGAAAGTTTTTTTAGAGCAATTTCAGCGATTTAGTCATAACAAACAATACAAAATAAACTATTTCGGTTCTGCTTTGGGGCAGGGCTGAGGTTTGGAATGGAAACATCCAAAATATGGTGACAGGAAGGTATAATGGTAGTGGGATTGGTGTTCAAATATTATACAATCAAATATTGTGGGAAAAATAGCACTGTAGCACTGTCCTCCCACTGTTCATCGATTTGCTTGATTGGGCACCAGTAACGTCTCCATTGTGAGACTTGTTGTTACTGTTTTTGGCATATTGAATATGTCACGGGTAGCTTGTCAGGCTTTGCCTTGCGGGTAGGATACTCTCGGTAGCTTGCCGGGATCTCAGAGGGGAGTGGAGGAATCGAACCTGGGTGGGCCATGTGCAAGGCAAATGCCTTACCCGCTATTGCTCCAGCCCACTTGTTTTTATAAGATCATAAAATAAATCATTACCAAGTCCGTAACACTGAAAGGCCAAGATCACTTGTGCACAGAACTGACAGCAAAGGTTGATATATAGGATATATCAAGTAGTCATGAAGAACAACAAAAACCCAAAAGCATAAACAAAAAATGGGAAGTGAAAATGAAAATGCAGAGGAAGACAGGTGGATGGCCAATAGGCACATGGGAAAATGCTCATCATCACTTACCATTAGGGAAATCCAAATTAAGGTGACAATGAGATACCGTCTTACACCAGTTAGAATGGAACATTATCAAAAGTACTAGGAATAATCCGCGTTGGCAAGATATGGTGAAAAACACTCGAATTCAGCTCTGATAATTCAGTTCATAATCTGTCATCATATATGCATTTCAACACCTTTCCTTTTCAAATACCAATAACTTAGCAATGCAATTTACTTTAGACAACAGTACATCTTCAATGTTGTCAAGTTCTCAGAAATTGGATCTTTGGGGTGAAAATCTACAAAAAGAAAGCACGGGGTCAGAAATATGGTACAGCAGGTGGGGCACTTTCCTAGGAAGTGGCAACTAATGATTCAAACTCCACCACCCCATATGGTTCCTGACTATAGGTGCAGCCCATGGTCACAGGTATGCCCCCAAATCAGGTCTGGCTAAAAAAACAACAAAGAAAAGCAGATTCTCCAAACAAACTCTTTCATTCAAAGTTCACTGTGACTGATTTCTGTTTTTGAGGGTTTTTTGTTTGTTTGTTTGTTTGTTTGTTTGTTTCAGCAAGATGATAACCAAAGGAAGATGAAGGAAACCACCCTCTGGGAAGATCTGGAGTGCATTCAAACTCCATACACACCTCCATAGGAATTGATGGGATAAAGAGTCCAGCTCTCTCTTATTTGTTCAAATGAAAACCAAAGGCCAGTGATTTTCAAAGTCCAAAGTTTCAGCAAAATTTTCAGTCTTGGAAGGAAAAAACTTTTTACAAAAATGTGCTCTCCTCCTCAACAGATGGCTGCTCTTAAGGCAACAAATACCGTTATTATCCAGTAACTCTAAAGTACACAGTAAAATTAATTTCTCAATTATAAACCTGACAGGACACATTAAGACTAATGTTCATGGGGCAGACCAAATAGTACAGCAGGTAGAGAGTTTACCTTGCAAGGAATCTGACCCAGGTTCCATCCCTGGCAACTCGTTTGATGTCCCACTCATGGCCCCAGGCCTACAGGAGTAATTCCTGAATGCTGAACCAGAAGTAAGCCCTGAGCAACACCGGGTAGGGCAAAAAAAAAAAAAAAAGACTAATGGAGAAAAGAGTGATTTTTTAACTTAACTCCACACTTCCACTTACCCCAAAACTAGGCTAATAAATCCAGTGGAACCATGGGGGGGAGGGGGCGGAATAATTCATGAGCCCCATCTGAGCTCTTTTCCTTGAAAACACGTCCCTTTTTTATGCCTACATATTATACATTTTTATCATTACACGTGCATGATACATATAAAGGGATGTCACATCACACCTTCCATTGGCTCCAGAGCCCAGGTAGCGGGTGAAGAGTCAGACTTAACAGGACGGTCATTAAACGCAAAGCACTGATGCTCCCACGGTACAGCTCTGCATCTCTACAGTCTTCCTAAGACCTTACCATTATCTCTCGTTATCTGTTCCTGACGTTGGAGGGGGTGCTGTTTTGGGTTTTTTTTGGGGGGGGAGAGGGGGGACACCCGGGTCTGGGTGCTCCCAGACCATGCGGTGTCAGTGATGGAGCCCCAGCCTCCCGCACGCCCACCGTGCGCTGCAGCCCTCTGTGCCAACTCCCCGACCTTTCAAGTCTTCTCAAAGCTGTCCCCTTCCCGTTCCTGACCCCAAAGCCCAACAGAACCCCTCCAGAGTCACGACGGTCCCGCCTGCAGCGACTGCCCAGCCTGGCTCCACTCGCCTCCCGCGACAAGCGCACCAATGCTGAAGCCCCACCTGCAGCCTCCGGGTCCCCAATCACCTGCTGCCCGTCGCTGCCCCGCAGGATCCGGCGCCGCCCCGCGGGGGCTCAGGGCAGAACCGGACCGTCCCCGGGCCAGGCCGCTGGATCCCGCGCCCTCCCGGACGTACCTGAGCAGGCAGTGGTCGCAGACCACACCATGACTCCCCTTGGACACCGTGTAAGCCAGCGGATCCGAGCGGAAAAGCAGCTCCCCCGGCCGCAGCGACGCCGCGGCGCGCAGCCCGTTCCCGCGCTCGGCGGTGCGGAACTTTTCCACCTTAGGAGGCTCCATGCTCCGGCAGCCGCGACTCCGCAGACACCCGCCGGGTTACACGCGCCCGCGTCCGCCGGCGCACGCGCACGCGCACGCCCGAGGGGCGGGGAGGCGGGGCGGGGCGGGCACGGCCCCGGTTCCGCGCAGGCCCAGACGCGGTTCTCGCAACCGCGGGCGCCGCACGACTTCGTTTCCCTGGAGCCGGAGCATCCCTGCTTTCCTGGCCTGTTGCAGGTACCCAGGGCAGCTCCGCGAGAAAAGACCCCGCTCTTTTCCCTTTCATCATGATCGTTTTGGGGGCACACGGAAGGCTGAGGACACAATGCTGCTAAAACACGTCTGCACTCTCCACCTGGGTCAATTCTTAGCACGGTGCCGTTTCTGTTCATTCTCTTTACCCGTGTAAAGAGAATGCTGCTATGTAGCTATGTAGCTATGTAGCTATGTTGAAAGTAAGTTGGGAAGGGGAGACGGAGAGATAGTACTGGTGTTAAGGCACGCACTTTGCACCAGCCTCCTTTGAGTCTCTGACACCGCATATAATTACCTCTGAGCACCACCAAGCATTTCTCCTGATTACAGAGCTAGGTATAGCCCCTGAGCACCGCGGCATATAGTCCCAACCCCTCAGCCCCCACCCGCAAAAAAAAAAGTTGCAAGGAGAAGAAGGGATGTTTGGGGGAGTGGTGGAGGAATATTCACCCACTAGTAATTGGGATTGTGTTGTAGCACTGGAAGTATAAAACAATTATTATTGTAAACCATACTACTTCAATAAAAATAACCACCAAAAAGGAGCAAGTTGCTAAGGTATTTCATAATACCTTATAGAACTTTATAATTAATACAGCGTTCTTTTCCTCCAAAAAGAATATCCTATAAATTACAATATCATCTCACCAATGAAAATCACTCTCAGACAGATGTGACTCAACTGTTTGAGCACACGCCTTGCATATTCAGACACTAGGTTCCAAACTTTCTGTCTGCCCCCGCACCCCAGCTCCCCAGCACTGCCTGCAGGGGCCTTAACCACAGAACTCAGCAAGGCTAGGCCTCCACCACAATAATAACAACTGGGGGAAAACAGTAAAACTATTCTTTTGGTGGGGGGAGGCATATCCAGTGGTGCTCAGGGCTTCCTCCTGCCTCTGCACTGCGGGATCACTCCTGGTATTGCCTGAACTGGGATGGCCACATGCAAGGCAAGTTCCTTAACCACTGGACTATTGCTTCCACCCCAACAAGATAATCTTTTACTTCTTTTTGTTGTTGTTCTTGTGTGAGTGTGTGTATGTATGTGTGTGTGAAGTAAGGCAGTTTTTATTGAACAAATTTTACTTAGAAAGGCATGAGGGGAGAGAAGGAGAGGAAATGCATGTTCAAGAGAAAACAGGGATTTCACCAGAGTGAAAAAATGCAGAAGGAGAGAGATACATTGTTCAAGGGGAACAGGGGCTTTTAGCAAAGAAACACCATACTCACTTTAAGAATGCTTTTTATACTTTTTTTGTTTTTTTTATTTGTTTTGGAAGAGCATTCTTGCTGTCTGGGGGCTACCCCTAACAGGCACTCCCTGCTGTGGTGCTGGGATCTAACCTGGCAGCTGCATGTAAGGCAAGCACCTTTAATCCCTGGACTATTTCTCAGGCCCTGTAAGAAGTTGTTTGTTTTAGTTTTTGTTTTAACCCAAGATCCAATTAGAAAGTCGTGCAAGATCTTTTTTTATGATATCAGTTTGTTAAATTTAATCTTGTGGAGCGATAGCACAGCAGGTAGGGCATTTGCCTTGCACGCAGCCAACCCAGGTTCAATTCCTCAGTCCCTCTCAGAGAGCCCGGCAAGCTACCGAGAGTATCTCACCTGCACAGCAGAAAATGGCAAGCTCCCCCATGACGTATTCGATATGCCAAAAACAGTAATAAAAAGTCTCACAATGGAGACGTTACTGGTGCCCGCTAGAGCAAATAGTTGAACAACGGGAGGACAGTGCTACAGTGCTACAATCTTGTGAAATATTCCACGGCTGTATTTTTCTAGTTGTTTCCTCATAGAGTCATTTACCTTGTCTTTCTGCTCCCTATAATCCTGTAAACAATAAAATAGAGCTAAATACTAGACTTCAGAGTGGTGGTTTTCTTAAAAAAAAAAAATTATAGGGCCACACTCATTGGTGATTAGGGATTGGGGTCACTTCTGAGACAGCTACCCAGCATTGCAGACCTGCTGATTCAGGCCTCGCACTGAGGTGCTCTATGACCCTGGTTCCCAGGAGCCACCAGAGCTGCACCCAGGAATTCCAGGTCACTGCAGTGTGGGGGTCACTGTGGGCTCCCTGCATGCTAGGCCTGTGCTCCACCCCAAGCATATCCAACTCCTAAAAGTCACCTGTAGTGAGAACAGAAGAAATATTCTGTAGGCCTCTAAGACATCAAATAAGAAAACATCTTTTGCAGAGCAGGGGAGATAGCACAAGGTCTCATCCCCAGCATGCATGGTCCCCTGAGTACCACAAGAAGTGATCCCCAAGAACTGAGTCTGAAGTAGCCCCTGAGCACTGCCAAATATGACCTCCCCAACCAAAAAAAGTCATCACTTATAATAACAATCACTTGTATCACTTGGCATCCATTGCTCATCGATTTGCTCAAGTGGGGACCAGTAATGTCTCTATTCATCCCTGTCATGTTCTAGTGTAGCCTAATGGTATCTGCTCCCTCCAGAAACATGAAGAGCATCAAACCGTTCGTTCAGGGTCTTGTCGAAGAAGTTCAACCATCTCAGAGATAGGCAGCCAGGCGTTCTTTTGATGTCCCGTGGAATCCAACTTGTACTGGCTCTAGCCCCTCAATGGTTCACCGCCTCATCGTAGCGGGGGGTGGCAATGGTGCCAACCAACGAAGAGTGAACCAACAAATGCTGCCTAGAGATGCAGGCAGGTGCATGTTTGTTAGCATGCAGATCATTACAACATGCCAGTGGACCAAAAGCTTGCATTTGGTAGACTGGGAGCACCTGTAAGGGCAATTAGAGGTCATCATAAAAGCCTCTGTCCCTCTCAGAGAGCCTGGCAAGCTACTGAGAGTATCCCGCCCACACGGCAGAGCCTGGCAAGCTACCTGTGGCGTATTCGATATGCCAAAAACAGTAACAATAATAACAATATCTGTATATAAATATATATAATATTACTGACATATGCGATAGCACAGCGGGTAGGGCGTTTGCCTTACAAGCGGCCAACATGGCCGACCCGAGTTTGATTCCTCCGCCCCTCTCGGAGAGCCCGGCAAGCTACCGAGAGTATTCGATATGCCAGACACAGTAACAACAAAGTCTCCAATGGAGACGTTACTGGGCCCGCTCGAGCAAATCGACGATCAACGGGAGGGCCTTTACCTTTACCTTTACCTTTACTGACATATGATCAAAGTATACCAGAATAAAGCAACAACAATTCCTTTTTTTTTTTTTTTTTTGCGGGGTAATGGGAGGGCACTTCCAGGGAAATGTGCAGTCCTGGGGATCAAAGCAGAGTTCTCTCATGCAAAGCATGCACTCCAGTTTGCTGAGTCATCTCTACAGCCCAATACAGCTGTAATTTTGTCACAGTCTGTCATCAGTCTTCAGACAGATGGTTGCAAACAGGAGAAACAGAACAGCAGGTAAGGTATTTGCCTTGCATGTGACCTTCCCACCTGAACTGAAACAAATATATAACCCAAGGTCATATATACTGAGAATATGACTTTTTCTTTTCTGATGTGGATGTCCTTTTTATCTCTTGTCTAATTGCTATGGCAAGGATTCCAGTACTGTTATAGTAGTGATGAGAGTAGACATCCTTGTCTTGTGCCTGATCTTGGAACACTTTCAGTTTTTCACCATTGAGTATGATGTGACGTTAACTGTGGGTTTGTGGTAAATAACTTTAACTATGCTCAGGAAAGTTTCTTTAGCTCCAATTTTATTAAGAGTTTGTATTATGAATAGATGTTGGATCCTATGGAATGTTTTCTGTGCATCTACTGTATGATGATATGACATTTTTTCTCATGTTGATGTGGTATATTACATTGATTAACTTGTGTATATTAAATCATCCTTATATCTCCAAGAAGAACCCAACTTGGTCATGGTTTATGATATTTTTAATGTATTGTTTCATTTGGCTAACTAATATTTTGTTGAAGTCTTTTCATTTATGTTCATCAAATAGTTTATAATTTTTCTTTTTATGATGTCTCAGTCTTCTTTTGGTATTAGAGTAATGTTTGCCTCATCAAAACTGTTTGGGAGGACTCCTGTTTCTTCAAGTTTATGAAAGAGCCTGAAAAATATTGTGAGTAGGTCATCTTTTTTTTTTATGTAGGAGTACTGCTATTTATTCAGCCACTGATTAGCTGATTGAATTGTGCATGAACTCCACCTTACTTTTTTTTTTCATTTTTTATAATTTTATTTCTTGGATCACCATGAGAGCAGTTACAAAGCTTTCAGGTCTAAGTCTCGGTCATACAATGAAACACCTGTACCTTCACCAGTCCCCATTCTCCACCACCAAAAACCCCAGTATATCCCCATCCCACACCCTCCCCCTACCTGTGGGGCAGATGATTTCCACATTACTCTCTCTCTACTTTGATCACATTCAATATTTTGACACCAGACCCACCATTATTATTTGAGATTTTACCCCAACACTCAGATCTGCTGAAAAGGCAACAGTAGACAAATTGTTCTCTATTGCTGGTTATGAATAATATATGATGTAGCATGGCCACAGTAGTGGCCGCGCAATTTTGAAATTCTGAAATTTTAACACTTAAATCTGGAAGGATTTCTGCCAAAACCTGCTGGGCTTCGAGATTTGCTCCTGAGTCTCTGAGATCATGGCCATTAAACAGCTTGATCAGGAGCCAGAAAGGCCGTTCGTAGGCGATGACTTGGGGTCTCATTGAGGTGGGGAGGACAGGACTGGCTCCACCCCCATCCAGTGAGGCCCAAAATGTCTCATCACTGCCAGCCCAAACCTGACTGTCCAGTGGCTTCTGGAGGA